TTCGAGTCAGTGATTGGTATTGATCCACACCATGGCATTTGGTTGTTGCGCGAAGGAGTACCTGTTTTGTGCATTGTGCATTGCTGCGAAATCAGATCAGCCAACGAGTGCGAATCTTTGGCCTACTCAATTCTCAACAACATCCCAGTGCTCCCAGAAACAGTCACGATGGGGCAGCAGAGATGCATGATGGACGATCAAGCAGATAAGACGGGCAAGGCTGCCCGATCATCCGCAAGCGCTGCGCCTATCCTGGCGCACTTGAAGGAGAAGATGAAGTCAAGATGGCAACAATGGACGGCGAAGACCATTGGAAGATATCAGTCACAGAACCATGCAATTCGGGCACGCAACAAGAAAAGGTACCACGAAGACCATCCGCTGCAAGACGGAGATGTCCCCGAAGGTTTTGGAGGAAGGCGCGCGACCAGGAAGATCTATGAAGATGGAAGCAAAAAGGCAAGCGAATCAATGTTAGGAGTGAACAATGTTGACTGGCAAGCGTGGACAGGTTTCACGGTTTTCTGCCGGGTAACAGACCCGCTGGCCGCCATGGTTGCTGCAGATGAATCCTTTGATCCTGCATTGATGAACGACTACATTGCTACATTGCATCTGTCGCGCAACGTTTTGGTGAAGAAGCTGCAACGCAGGAAGGGAAAGCGTCAAGAACACTAAGCTTCGATAGATGCCCGCCAGAAGTGCAGGAGCGTATTTTCGATGCGCAAAGAGCAGAGTGGAAGAAGTATTTCCAATTAAAATGCTGCAATACCAGTGCATGGAGAACAGCTTCAACAACTGTTGGACTCTTGGACGAAGGACATCAACTTATACCATCACAATGGGTTGATGTGGTCAAGAATGCGCACCTTTTGAACACAGAGAAGTATGTGCCAGAACATCGCGCGTGGCAACTACGAGCGCGACGCGAAGGGCGAAGTACGATGTGACTGCAGAAGGTGAGACACATTGCTTGTTGGCATCCTTCGCGGCGTCGCGCAGACGCTTCACTGTGCTGACGTGAGTAGTGCGCGCTTTCAGTCAAACCCCATGAGCCGACGTTTGCTCATGAGGCAACCGAGGGGTGGTATCCCAAGTGAGGATGTGCCACTAGATGCAGCATCGATTGCGCGATTGCCAATCTATGGAACTACCTACGAATGAACGGAGAGATCACGAGCGGAGGACTGAAGTGTAGCAAGATCACCCCAGCCTTGTACTACTTGCGCAATCCCAAAGGAAAGTTGATTGGCGTGATCGCAGCTCATGCTGACGATTTGCTGTTACTGCTACCTCGATGAAGGCAAAAGCACAATTGGGAACTTTTTTGAAGAAGTTCACTATTGGGAAAACTGAGAGTGGCAAGTCCGCTACTGCGGACGACAGTGTGAAGACTTCTAAGTGAGTATTTCCACAAGCGAGAACTGCAAGACAGTCAAGCCGATCGAGATTGGCAAGAACCGCTAGCTGACAGACAAGTTGACCGAGAAGGAACTCACAAGCTTTGAGAAGTGTTGTGGGAAGCCTTGCGTGGGTCGCCCGCAATGGCCGACCTGATTTGTGTTACCGTGTAAATGAAATGCAAAGGGCTTGCAGCTCAAAAGCAACAGTGCAAGGTTTGAAAATGGCAACCAAAGTTGTTGAACTGGAAGTGACCTACAGATCACATTCAAGAGCCATTGGATCGATTGGGGCGATCTAGCAGTTGTAACTTTCAGTGACGCCAGTTTTGCAAACGAAGAAGGCTACAAAAGTCAACAGGGAAGAATCCACTACTTGACAAGCGCAAAAGACATCAAGAAAAGCCAACGCAAGACGCACTTGATCAGCTTTGGATTGACGACGTTGAAACGCGTTTGTCGTGCGACTTTACAAGCAGAGGCATATGCGCTCCAGATGGCCGAATTGACAGGTAAGCCTGTTGACACGAAGAATTGGCATGAGGAGACACAAAGGAAGATGGCGCACATGTATCTAACTGATGGCCGATCATCGCTATCAGACCATTTACTGGCTGAAGCGCCAAGGAAGGCCCAAGACAAGAGACTTGGAATTGAGCTTGCACCGTTGAGGCAAGCAAGGAGTATGGGCTGTGAACGGTGAGATGACGTCAAGTGTACAGCCCATACGGTGACCACTTGAAGTGGATTGAGACGGCTCAGCAGCTTGCAGATCCTTTCACAAAGAGCATGAAGCCTGACTACCTCCTGAAGACCATCGGCGCAGGTCTCGTTGATGTTGAAGACAGCTCTTGCGAGAAAGGTGACAAAGATGTTTCAATGACTTGTTAAAATTCGGATGCAAAGACAAGGTTTCCATGTCCCACACAGAATAGAGTTGCAGGAGTGAGAACGTACAAACTGCTGAAGCCCCAACGCACCTGAAGATAAGACGGGTGTGATTCTGAGCTCTTTGCGCCAGGGTGTCTTGTACAGTGAACATGCCATGTGGCCATTTCGGCTTGGATCAGACGCCTTGAGCTAATCGGTACGCTGAAAAGGATCGCCCCAAGATTGAAAGTTGTGTCTCGCGTTGAACTTGAAGAGTCACACGGTGGACATGGGATAGGAAACCCGCACGAAACCTGCGTAACTGCATAACCTATGGGCGCCGACTTTTACCTCGTGGCGTGGAAAGCTTCAAAGGTCGAGGAACGAGCAGCTGATTCCGCGCCACTTACAAAGATAGCTGAGCCGTGGAACGTGGGTGCGGTCTGCAAGGCGGGGTGCTGCATGGGCTAGGAGTGGTGCGCAGTCTCTTACTCTTTGTGGATCTCGGAAAACCGCAATTCCATCGTTGAACCCTCTGGAACCTTGGGTGCTGGCTGTCTGGGCTGCGAGCGGCGCCCAGTTTGTTGACGGCGCCCTAAAGCCGGCGTTCCATCATCAAACCTTGCGCGCTGTTTGGGAGTGGCGCTCCAGAAAGGCGGACAAAGAAACGTATCGGAGATATCGTAAGACTATGATTTGGGTGGCAGTGCATAGTGTCCCCTTGGAACCTCACACCATAAAGCCATATTATGTACTGTTATATATGCATGCCACAGGCAGTTTCGTGTATCTAGCACCTTTTGCGCTTGTAGTGTTCTACGCGCATCTTTGCCACAGGCAGTTGCGTGTACTTGGCAGGATGCCGTCTACCAACAGCTTTTTCGTTGGCTTCGTCGCGCGGAGGCAACAGCTTTTGCGTTTGTGGTGTGCCTTGAGCTCGGTTGCCGAGCATCCCTTTTACGCACCAACGAAACGCTAGATGCGCCGCAGTGCCACAGGCAGTTGCGTGTGCTTGGCAGGGCGTGTCTACAGTGGCTTGCCTCGCGCCCCCACTGTGGAGCATGCGCTGTACGCGCCAGAAAACTATATATACTGTATGTTCTTTGCGCAGGAATGCCCGCAACAGCTTTTGTTCCTGCAACGGAGCAATCTTTCTACGTCGCGCAAGGCATGTTGTATGCGCAGCAAGGCCGCAGGCAGTTGCACGGCTTTTGCGCTTGTGGTGTGCCTCCTGCCCTTGTTGTGAAGCCTTCTTGATACACGCCATAATAGAGTCTCGGTGCTGCAACGCCGCCGGCGTGCGGGGTGTTTCTGCGCCGGCAAACAACTTATACGCTTGCGGTGTGCCTTGTGGGTCCGTTACAGAATGTTCAGTCAACGCCGCCCGAACCACTTTTTACGCGCAGCAAGGCAGTTGCTCTCCGTGCTATTGCGCTTGTGGTGTGCTTTGTGTTCCTGTTGCAGTTCATACATTGTTTCTGTAGTAGAACCAATAGTGCGGTGTTTGTACGCACCTTGCAGCGCTCAGCACGCCTACATTTTGCCCCAGCTCCTGGACCCCAATTCCTGCTCCGCTGCGCCCTTTGCATTTTGCAAATGGATCGGGGTGGCAGCAGCGCGTATAGTTGGAGTGATTGAGAAGTTTTAGTGAATTGAGTTGCTACCTGCTGTTGGGTTGTAAAGCTGGGTGACCACTTGTCGAAAAAGACCGGTGGTGGTCAAGACTAAAGAGCGGCCACAGAAATACATAATTTTTGCCACGACCTTCTGACTTTGAACGGCCACGATGATGGCAGATTGACTGACGAAGGTCAGAGTCAGAGGATCCGCAAGGGTGCTCAGGCCTGGGGTTTCAAGGCTAAGAACAAACAACAAAAGTTTTTGTGGAACAGAGATGCTTTGTGCCAGCAGGGTTTGACTCCTTCCACATACGCCCATCATGCTCGAACTGCGCGAGCCGAATCCGAGTCACGCCCCACCGTACGGCGGAGAGATGGAGCGGGCTTCAGGTCAACAAGACAAGCAGCTGATCTCCGCTGCCACATGCGCATAGCTTACAAAAAAGGATGTTTGTTCTACTGGGGTAGCATTCTGTCAACCAAACCCTGAAGCTTCTCTCTTTGAAGGGACGCCCAAAAGCGCATATGAGCTCAAGAAGAAGCGAGCGGATGAAAAGGAACGCGTCGAGTGCGAAGGCGACAGAATCAGAAAAATCATGTGTTTGATACATTTTGCAGTGTACAGTATCTGTGCGGACATATTTGCAGTATATGTGCGCACACACACACATATATATACACACCCGGGAAAATTAACATAGAACCTGAAAATTTACCACTGGAAGACTATTTTCCTCTACAGGCCAGTGGTTGTCAGGTTCCATGTTAATTTTCCCGAGTGTTTATGTGCGTATGTTTTGTTGATTCGTTTCCTTTGGCCAGCCTCAGCGCGCAGGGTCACAAATTTTGGCAGAGTTGTTTTACACCAAACTGTAAATTTCTGGCGGCCTACGCGCGCGCGCTGACTGACAACATATATGTAGTATTTACGCATGGATTTGCAGGCGTGCAATGTTAGCGTATATCAGTACGTTGTATGTCAATCAAAAACCCAATTCGTTGTTGACTTGCATGCATGTTAGGTCGGCAATAGGGTTGTGCTTTTATAGCTTCATTGCAATCAGCTTCAGTACTTGATGCCAATTGTTGACCACAATGTTTGCAGATTAAGGTAGTCAATCCTGATATGCCAGTCTGGGTTGTTTTAATCCCAGCTTTTGCCATCGCAGCAGCAATGTGGATGCAGAGAGCTTCTTTCGATTGTGCCAGACGAAGTCGACAATCACTTTGACTCGCTGCATAATGACCCGAATGTACAGTTTGCATGCGCAGTTTCACGAGAAATTCTAATTGTCAAGACATGCGCTTGTTGGGCGTGCGCAAAACAAACCGATTCGGGTTTTGTAAGGATCACGATGTGCACAGGCTTGAGTGTGACGCAAGGCCAGTTTGGCTTGCAAGTGTACAATGAAGATCAGCCACTTCAAAATCCAGCAGCAACGCAACCAAGATGAACACCTTTTCCTTGGTTTTTACGGCTGAAAGGCCTAATTTCATTGCAATGGGGTGAAAACAAATGTAACATATCAAATCTCCTAATTCTACACAAACGCGCATTCTTTTTTTCAAACACATCTTCTGAAAGTTTCCACACATGAATACATATTGTTTGATCGATGGGGTATGCTTGAAACAATGCCCTTGGGCTTGAATCCTTGTGCCATTGGGGCTTCTGACACGAGGATGCACTAGCGTGGAAGTGTTCCGGCGACAACCAGTCATCGTTTGGTTGGTATGCTTTGGCGTGAAGATTCAGTGTTGTTGTTGTTGTTGTTTATGAATTGTAAAGGTCACAGTGAGACAGAAACTAACCTACCCCTGCCTGAAAAAAAAGCAGCGATCAGGAAGAGAAAGACACAGAACAAAAGACAACTTTGTTGTTTGCATCGCATCATCGTCTAAGGAACTTTGGCGGCCTGAGGCTTTCGGTGCTGTGCTGGCCGTAGGAAGTGCTCGTAATGCAGCCTCTGCCGCCACCACTGGGGAGCTGTGCCTGGGCTCATTGTGCTTCAGAAGGTTTTATTCAATTCCTGTTTGCAAAACCTTTTGAGGGCTTGCTAGGACACCAACTGTAAAATTGACTGCCTTTAGGGATGGCGAAAGACAAAAGTAGGCTTGAACCATATCATTAGTGCGAGCGCTTCTTGAAAGAAACTCCCCTCAGGCGGGGTGAGCTTCTGTGAAGAAGCGGGAAGTATCCTGCATCCTAGCTAGGAGCGAACTTTTCCTAGTAGCTTATTTCTCCCTTACTTCATTAAGTAGGCGCCTACTTAATTAAGCAAGGACGGGGGCCCCCACGGGCTTAAAAACAATGGTCAGGTTGGGATGCAAAGTCTCACACATCGTCACTGTGGGCTCCTACCGCAATTACAGCGCGATTGCTGCCCTCCTTATCGAGTGGCCTGGATGCAGACGGAGCCTTGTGAGCCTTGTGAACATGCAACCGCAGACAGGAATGGGCATGAAGATATAGAGCATCAGTACTTCCGAATGTCTGACTGGTTACGACCAGACGAAGAATTGGATTTGACGCTTGCTTGCATTGAATCCTTCGAACAAGGATTTTGCGCAGCAACTCTGGACTCATGTAGAATCCCCTTGCTCAGGAAGGTTGAGCTGAGTGAAGCTTTACAGGTGCCTGGCGAAAAGTCTTATGGTCTGGTGAATAGCATCCGTTTCCACTTGCAGGCTCTACAATCTGCAGTGCAGCCTATGGGCACTGAAGACAGAATTGTGCTCCTTCATTGCGACCAGGCCAGGATAACCACACTGTTGAAGGTTGTTTTTGACTAGAAAGAAAGGACATGGAACAAAGCAAAACAACATCACCATTATTATGCCCTGCATTTTTGACTCAGACTGCTGCCGCGGGTTTACAGGGCCACAATCGCTCTCCGACTCTGGCTTTGTCGTTCTTTCTCTACAACGGCCACAATTTGCGACAGGCACGTGTGCGAGTGATGTGCAACTATCCACGAATTTCTCAACTAAAAATAGGAGTGATCCGACTGATCCTCATTGAATGCTGCAATCTCATTGCCAGGCTTACCAAAGGCTATTGCAGGCAAGGCCTGATGTGGATCCGTTGCCCCCCTACCGGCGGGGTTTGCAGACTTTGGAATCTGAGCTCTACGGCGTACCTCGGTCAAAGTTTCAGTGCTGTGTTTGTGTGCAATTCTTTTGTTTCAATGCAGATTGGTTCCTTGGTTCCTTGTTGCCACGGAGTTTCTCTATGTGTATAAAGAAGCTGCCAATGTTGCTCCAAAGTTTCCAAAGCTTCGCATAGGTTTTTGATGTGTTCTTGGAGTGCTCTTTCACCCGGACCAAGGAGCAAACAGTGTTCGAGCATGATTATTTTGCCAGACACATCACAGAGCTGACGCTTGGAAGCATTTTGCAAGTGTCGCCAGGTTGATGCAGTCTTGAAGGGGCTTCAAGAACTGTCCAGCATGTGATATGAATCGACCGTGCCAGGTTTGTTTCAGTTCGTAGGACGAGACAATTGTCCAAGGATGAGCCTTCCAAACATCAAGGAGCTGGCTTGTGCCTGCTGGGGCTTTAGAGATTGAAATCTCTTGTGTTGGACCATATAAACTGCTGTCGCTGGGTGATGCATGCAGCTGAGGTCCAGCGTCATTTCATCCTCAACCTATAGAAGATGACGAGGAGCCATTGGAGGAGACATTAGATACGTCGGAGACCTTTGATGCTTCGGAGACCTTTAGCTTTGCTCTCACTGCCTGTAGCTCAGAAAACGAGCTGCGAAGGGAAAGGCCCAAAAGGCCTTTGATCCAAGGTTCGGCGCTTTGCCATTGCCGCCTTGATGGCAGAGCTGACTGCTGCCGGGGTGGAAAATGGTGTCATGTTTCTTTGATTGGAAGTGCTTGAGAGACGCTTGGGCGAGTTTTTGGCCCAAGATGGTTGCACATCCCACAAGACTGGATAGGTATTAGAAGTAAACAGCGATAACCTGGCGTCATCATGATAGGACTTTCGATATGAATGTGAAGTATGTATATAGATATTTTGGAGCAATATAGATTGGCAGCAAAATGACACCATGCCTTAAGGGCATGGCCTTGGCTCGTCTAGCAAGACATGAGAACAGCTTTCCGACCCAAGATGCGCTGAGCCAAATTGCAATGTCAGTGCAGGTAAATAGAAAGGTGAGGAAAGCGATGTCGGGGTGATGGAGGGAAAAGACTGTCGCTATTAGATTATGTTTCTAATTATTGTTTCTATATAATAGCTTTATTGTTCCTGGTAGCGGTGCCAGGAGCCCCTAGTAGCGTCCTTGTTCCTAGTAGCGATGTTCGATGTTTGACTTTCAGAGCCGCCAGGAGGCGGAGGCCTTCAGATGTTTGCTACCAAGGAAGGAGGCCCTCTCTTTGTACTTCAGAAAGATAAGCTATTACAAATTGTAGGGGCTTGTGCAAGGGGCGCTGTGCAAGGGATAGACACACATTCTCAATTTTCACACTTATGGATGTTGCAGTGTGCCGGAAACCTGTTGGGCTCAGATCATACTCTATACGAGACTGAACAGCACTGTGGAATGAAGCATAAGTGGGACAATTAGCCTCAAACTGATGTGCAGCGAGCTTTTTGAATTTCGACGAAGGCAGACCCAAGCAGACCCAGCATACCAAACGGTCCAACCAGTAACCACTTAAAAAACTCTGTATCAGCTTGGAGAGCGCAAGCCGCTGAAGCTTCGAGTCGCCCAGCGCACGATGATTCATGGTGGCAGCTCTGAAATTGATAATTCACCTGCAACTTGTGCGGCTTGGATTTGGTGATAGGCCGGCTGTCTCATGTGGTAGATGCATGTTAAGCAGAAGTGCTGTTTTTGTGATCACAAACTTGTTCTTCGTTCACTTGCCTTTGGCCAGCAGAAAACTCTTTACTTTGCAGGAAGAGTGTTCTTGCACAAGCAGTGACCTAGCAGCATCTCTACAGGATAGTTGGCCTTGGTTAGCAACCGAGTAGTATCAGCTTGATGAGCTGCAAATTGAGGGACTTGATGGTGCAGAGACAGATGAGTGCTCTTCTTTCCTGCAGGCCTGGAGATATGACCAACTTTTTGATCCTTTTTGCAGTTGCATTGTCAACACCCCTCAAGTATGGGTATTTCTTGGCATACTTTCCTGGGATTCCCAGGAATCAGATTGTGGAAGATTGGACGATGTTGAAAAAAGTCACATCCGTAGCGTCATTGAACCTCTCAGTGGCACACAAATCTTTCATCGAACGTGTAGGTCTTTTGAATCACCTAAATTTGGAGCTTCGCAGCTGTTTTACTTTGCAACTCTTGCAGCCAGCTTCCTTGCCAGCTGGACTTTACTCGAGACTTCCTCACCGTTTTTCTCGATATGCACTTGTTTGTTTGCTTTCTCACGTGGTTGGCAGGCAGCTTCCACACGATCTTCACAGGACCCAACGCATGTCGGTGTTCATTCTGTGTTGTGCTATCTATATAGTGTTCATTCATGCAGAGTGTTCAGTGTTTGAAGGCACATTCCTCACCAAGGCACGACCTTTCCAAGCACTCTATACTGACCTGCAGAAGGGCCTTGCAGCTCTGCATCAGCCCAGCAACAACAGCTCAAGGCTCTTGGCACGAGAGATCCAACACGCGAATCAGTTTGTGTGGCTTTGGACGCATGCCAGTCGTTTGGTCGCCTCTATGTCACATTGTCAGTCACACAGCGAATTCCGTGTCCCAAAAACCGAGTTTTGGAGGCTTTTCCTTCTTTTCTGGGGGGGCGTATACCCAGCTGCATATACCCAGCATTCGAGTTTGATGTTCCTGGTGTTGTCAGAGTCATTGTCCCAGGTCAACACAATACTTTGAAGCTTGTTGCAGTAATACCAGGGCACTCTTGGGCGGTTTGTTGGTATAATTTCAACAGTTGCCCTCTAAGCTGCTGAGTTATGAAGTTCTGCATCACCTTCGAGTTCTCACTCAGGTTTATTCATATACCCAAGACTGCTGGAACCTCTTTCAGAGAAGACGCTGCTCTAGTGGTGGATCCATCACCACTTGTGGATAATGGAGAGCCTTGTCATTTGTTATAGACTTTACTAGGGGGTGCGTTTGTCTTGTGTTTGCACTTGAAATGTTGTGTGTTTTTATTTAATTGGTGGACAACTTGGCACACATGAGGAACAGCCATTTCAGCGTAGCCTGGCATTGTGTGCATCTACAGGCATGTTTTGTCAAGCTGGATGCAGTTGGATCCTAATTTATCAACAATAATTGCGCGCTGCAAGCCTCAAGGTACACAACTTGGCGAAAGTCATCAGATCGGCATGGTAATGCTTCGACATCCTTTGGCACATGTTTTGCACATATCTCAGTGTCAAGCTGCCTTTACAGGAGGACCTTAGCCCAAGCTTCCTTTTCTTGGTCATTTTGGGTCATTTTGGATACAGGTTCTTGCACAATCACTGTATCTTCATTACTGTAATGTCGTGGACTACACATGGACGCCATGCGTAGACTCCGTATCGCTTCGTACAATTCCCAGGTCGCAGTTTATGGAGTGCAAGTACGACTACTGGGGTGGCATGACCACCTTGGGCACTGCCTTTCCCCGCTTCTCAGGCACCAACTTCACGGCATGCGGAAGTTTGGAACTCTTTCCCTTTGCTTTGCCTCAACTAGCTGTTTGAGTTTGCCCAGGCGTGTATGGTGGCTTTGAGGAATGGATATCGCATTTCTTGGACATCAAGAATTCCCCGATTGACGGAGCACTGCCGGACAGTGAGGAGTCATTTTCTGTGTGAACCGTGGGACATTCTGTGCTTCAGACAGTGCATGTATACAGAAAATCAAGATCACACAAACCAATCCAGCCCACTAGTCGAAAGTCATGAACTGGAGCTGGCTGGGAGGACTGGGCACAAGCAGTGAACTACCACTGTTACAATCCGTGGAACATGCAGACGAGCCGCTGGGTGGACATTTCAAGTAAGCCTTTCCAAACAACGCATAGTGCACCAACAGTTTGAAGGATTTGACAATACGTACAGGTGGGGCACGCAGAAATGGCCAATCTTGTTTGCCAGCTCCACGCTGAGGATATTTGTCAACTACTTGGGGCCATGCGGCCCCCTTTGCACTGCTGGAGCCCGATCTCAGCGCAGCGAAGAAGAATTTGGAACGTGCCCGGACATGCGTTTGCCAATTACTTTTTTGTCACTAACCAGTTCAGGGTGGGCATGAACAGGAGAGACGGCTTGGCGCGCGGGGTGGGGGAAAACAATGGCCAATATCAATTCTTTTCTGTGGTGAGGCGTGCAATTTATCGGCATCCAAGAACTGTACATCGAGACCCTTTGCATGCTCCAACTTTGGAGGTGGATGTGTGCACGTGGGCAGAACAAGGTTTGGCATCTACTTTTGTATTGCAATGGCTGGCTTCCAATTCGCCTGCACCCGCTCTCCCCTCACCACTTTTTGGCGTATGGACGCCTCTAGCTCATTATCTCCCTTCTCCTTCACATGCCCCTGCTATATCCCGTTGGCTTAGAATTCTAGTTAGAACGTGCTGCCGGGAAGACACCCGTGCAAAGATTCAGCTGGGAATACAAATGACTATGACAGAGAATGCCGTATTTCCGCACACCATTGAACCAGCAGCCTCCAACTGACGGTTAAACAAAAAGCAGTGGTGCATACCTGCTTTCGCACCTAGCTGCGTAAATGAACCCCGAGGCTGTTAACAACGGTCAAGGATCCTAGAGGACATTGACATGATCATTTTCCACAAATCAATTTGGATTAGTGGACCAAAGAGTACACTGAACAACACTTCAGAAAAGCTCCATTAGTATTCATGCGAAACATGTTTGCAGTCCTTTGAGCACTCCTTAGCGTGTAAAGAATGAAAGAGTGACTTCGTTTTTGCTAGGCATGGGACAGTGACAGAGTCCTGTGCTTGTGGTGGACCAGGAGAGGATGGAAGTGAGGGCTTTCCTTGCACCAACAGACAATGCTCTGTCATGCTAAGAACACATAGACTCCTTGTGCTCAGTTTGCTGTAGTTGGTACACCTCGTTTCACGACATGCCAACGTTCGATGCTCTTGAATTGTAAGGCCCGGTAATTCGCTCACGCTGATATTGGAATGGACTCTACAAATGTTATGTTTGTTTCGAAACTTCTTATATAGAGCATATAGAGAGGCCAGACTAAATCTACTGATTTTCCAATGCACCAGCAAAGAAAGAAAGAACGAATGAACGAATGGAAGAACGAATGAAAGAACGAAAGAACGAAGGAACAAACGAACGAACGAACCAACGAAAGAACGACCAAAAGAAAGACGGAAAGAAACAGCACGGCAGTAGAAGTGAAATGAAGGAGTGAAAGAAAGGAAAGGAAAGAGTAACGCGAACCAGACCAGGGTGGATTCGAACCACCAAAGTCTTGTTAGAAGTTCCTCGCTTTCGCAAAGACGACAACACAGCTGGTCCAGTTGCAGGGCCAAAACAAGAACAAACTTCTAGCGGTTCTCACGCAGCCTCGTCGAACAATCGTGCGCTATTGATTTTGCGCTCTGATCCGCCGTAATTTTTTGTGTGGGATCAGCAGACTGTGCAGAGCTCTTCGCTTTGTTCGCTTTTTGGTTGAGCCCCTGGTCACTGCTGAAGGACCCCTGAATGAGACTAGTTGCTTTGCTTAAAAATTGCAGCGACAGGAAGGATTTGTGCATTTGTTCCCAATCGTGGCTCAGCGCGCGCGCAACCTGAGGTCATGAAAGCCATTTTGTGCCGGCCCATACAGTTTTGGACCTACCAAAGGAATTGGTGAGCAGAATGCACAAACTAGTTCGACAAGATGTGCGGCAACTTGGCATCAACTTGATGCGCAAAACTTGTGGAGGGCACATTCTGAATTCTCTGTGAGAAAACCTTGAGGCTATACGCATCAGCATTGAAGCGGTTTGAAAAGGAGGTGCGGATGGCATCAAAGAGGACTGGCATCCAGATGGTGTGTGAACACAACTTTGAGAAAGTCTGGCAGCAGGCCGGACGGCAGTTGGGCCGGTCTTTGTACGTGCAGATTCAATCAAAAAGACCTGATATTTGCAAGGTGGGATTACATACTCATATTAGAGGGGTGACACCAAGACATATCCTCATCCTCTTGATTTTTCAAAGGCCCGGGGTTTTAATCAGTGAGCTTTTGGGAAGCAATATTTGGTGGTCATTCAACGCCAATCCGGCAAAGTTATGTACGTGTGTGTGATTCTACGTGGGCCTTCCACTAGCATGAAGCTTCGGGTCGTTTTCTTTTGCTGGAGCTGAGAATCCACAAAGCTGAGAGTCCTTCTACTGTAGGTCCTAGATCTTCATCGGGAGCTAAAGCTCGATCTGAATATGGACAGTTCCAAGGTTGCACAAGCTTTCCACAGCAAGTTGCCATGGGCCTGATGTTCTTTGCCACGTCTTTGAGTCTTTGAGTCTGTATATTGAGGTCTTTGAGCCTTTCAGCAAATTGAAGTGACATCCCCCAGCTCTGCCTTTGCCAAGCCGCCAAGTGTGCATGGTGACCAGCTATAGCAGTGGAAAAAGAGAGGATTGTGATACTGTAGTACCTTTCACCGATAGAGCATGGTGAGACAATTACAGCTTGTACCATTGGGCTCGTCAATGCGATTCAGCGTGCAGTCTCTGCTTCTGTTAAACTGTTAGGCGGCAGCACGGCAAAAGCGCTCACCGCTAAGGTGTCCGGATCACAGTATCCAACCATGTAGCCCCCAAAAGACTTCAGCAAGCAAGCATGCACTTCTAGCTGCAGGTATCTTGCCACATTCTTTTGTTTTCTTTAAGGGAAGCGCTCGCCTTTTTGTAACATTCTACTCAGAAAGCTTGACAGATTGAAAAAATGAAGGTAGACACATATTTCTTTGGGCTAATGTGTGTGTGTGTGTAATTTTAATATTTGTTTTCTGCTTTGGGCTTTGGGCCTAGATTCTCTATATACATTCGATACTTCTTGCAACCCTTGCAGGTGGCCAAGCTGGGATGGCATGGTGCATGGCAGTCTGTGCTTCTGGTGTTGGAGGAGGCAAGGCTCGGAAGGCTCATACTGTGCAGCCTCCACTGAAGCCTGAAGCGTTGTTGGCTCAACTCGCAGATCAATGACAAGGGCTGACATTGCAAATCCGGGAAATGACGCAAGGATCAAAGAGAGAAACCGACTCTCTTGACAATTCTCGTTACTGAGCAATCAAATTCAAGCTCCAGGCCCACAAGATAAGCCAGCTGGATGTCGTGCTTTGCAACGCCGGAGCGGAATGCCCAGATCGGGCGGACGTAGCTGTCACAGGATCTGTGGAGCCTGGACACACTCATGCATGTCTTGACTTAGAGACTGAAGATGAGATCAGCCTAGCTAGAGCAAAGGCGTGTAGAGCAGAGCATGCTTCCTCTTGTGATCGCAAGGTCCGAGCATGTGCACGAAGTCAGGCATGGCAGGCAGCAGATCTAGCAACGGCAGTGGCGAGCGTTTATCAAGCCTGTGTATTGGTCGCATATGGTCTAATTCCAGACTCGTCAGTGGGATGCATTCAACTTACTTGAGGGGCAAGGCTTGCCAAGCAAGTCGCTAGTTTGTATCAACTTGTTCTGTTCAGGTTGGCCTGTCCCTCCTCGAAAGCATGTTGCAGGGCAGGCAAGTTTTCCTCAGACTCAACTTGTTGTCAGATTGCATTGAATTTTACCGCTTTGGCTTGGGTGGTTTCAATAACTCAGCAAGCATAACAACAACAACATGTTGAGAAGTAGGCCAAACAATGCAAAAGAGCAAAGATTCCCTTTGCAGGGCCATCCCAATAGCAGACTGCATCACAGTTAACAGCGCTTTGAGTCTACGCCTGAGTCAAGCTTGAGTTAGCTGGCCTTGTGACACTATATATATATATTGTATAAATTGTATATATATATACATTAGAGTATGATATTATACATACATATTATACATTATAGATATTATATATATATATATTATATATTATATATATTATATATATATCCTATCCTTGATCCATATAGTGTCAATAAATTTTGAAATGCATGAAACAGTGAGTACGCCATCTTTTGTGTAACCAAAGTGGATCCATTTCTCTGGCGTGAATACTAAAGCACCTTTATCCAAATAATTGGATTATGCAAATTGTAACCTTCATCAGCTTGAGGTGGTTGTGCGGCAGCTGCTGACTGGCAAAGGACCTTGCAGCTTTTGGAAGAGCTGACGACTGGGAGGCAGCTTCCACATGCAGGTCATCTCGGATCCAGTTGTTCAGCCAAGTTGAAGTCGCACGTGTTGCAGCTCGCTTAGAGCATTTGGTCTTTTCAGGTGGGGCATTGAGCCCAACACCATCACCTTCAACACAGCCCTCAATGCCTGCGCGAGGCTCACGAAGCAAGTTGCTTTGCAAACCATGCACAACGCGGCAAGTGTTTGAGAGGAGTGAACAGTGGCAAGAGGCCTTGTGCCTGTGACCTGGTAGCACATGTGCTTCTTTCTGAGACCCTAATTTGCGACTGAAGACATTTTTCCAGCTCTTTTGCGCAAACTCTGAGGCTTTGGATCCTAGATGGTCAAGGCACAAACGATGTGATGCGGGCTGGACCCACAAAAGACCTCAAATCTAAAGGGGCTTTCACTTCATCGACATGAACAGTGGCGGTCATTCAGGTCCAGGAAGCGACCTTGTGAGCTTCAACACGGTAATGGCTGCTTGTGATACTGGGCGGCAGACGATTTTTTACGTTGGCCCATTCTTTGAAGCCCATACATACACCACATTCATTCAAGTTCATGCTATGCAACTTGTCACGGATGCATTTTTGAACGTGTTGTCCATGTGCTCGAGTCCTCACCGTTTTTTTTTTCCAATATCGGGGAGGAACTCACGCTACATACTTCTTGTTGAAGAAGTACTGTATATGAGCTGACGGTATTTTGGTTTTGTGAAGCTCATGTTAAGTTGTGAATGCCCTAAAGTGGTGCGGAGAGGAAGCTCAGCGAGTATATTGGAAGATAGCCGTGAGAGCTCAGTGATAGGAACGTGGTGCATTCGGACTTAACCATGGTGGTTGGCCTTGGAGAGGTCGTCAAGACCAGCAGCCTTGTCACATTACTGGTATACTTGAAGTTTTTCATCAGCAATTTGCGGTGGGGATTGCTCAAAGGAAAAGCAAATCTTCGTGCCAGGGAAGACGTCAACAACAATGAAAATGCAACACAGGATGATGTGGATCGGGCGAATCATGCTGGCCGCATTGTCCAGAATGACATGGAGAACCTTCCGATGGGTTTGGTGGTGATTTGGGCTTGTGTTTTTACCATCTTCGTATCCTCTACTTCCGTTCAAGATCCACAGGCATTCTGCATTGCGCACCTGGTATTCACGGCCATGTGGGCAACTTTCCGAGTGATCCACACCATCATCTACGAGCTTCAACTTGGACTGTTGCGGGGCATCACCTTTATGTTGAGCATGTGCTGCCTTTGGGGCCTTATGATCTTGATGGTCGTTGCAGCTTTCAGTTTGCCGTGAACTTAGTGGTCCAGTTGAGCAGTTTAGGTTGCAGTACTTCCGATTGCAGCCCGATTGCAGCCAGCCTTTTGTTTTGCGATTTTTCCATATGATTGTTTAGCTTGTTCTTTGCAAAGATTTGAGTATGTGAGTGTTTGTGCACAAGCTGGGCTGCTGCACACTCGGCAGTTTAGCGGGATCGTGCTACCGCCTGTTTTGCCTCAACAACCTGAGATGGCAATGTACATCTCTGACGGTTGGAGAACTGCAAAAATATGTTTCTCATCATGTGATTCTGTTTGCTGAAGTTACGACGCTTGTAGATGAGCAATGCTACTGGCTACGAGCACGTTGCTAACTCAGGAAGGCAGCGGTCGATGGCAGACTTGTGTAGCACTACTGGAAGCTGCCCAACGCAGAGGTGCCTTTCTTTCTAGAGCGGGCGGCGACGGGGGATTGTATATCCGCCGTGTGAATATCAACAAAGATTACTTTGAGTCCTGAACGTCAGAAACAGTGCTGTTTGCGAAGTTAGTTTGTCGCCATCAAGCGGTTTTCGCCCTTTCAGGTCTTCAAGGAGACTTGGCATCTTGGCAGGTACAGTGTTGAGATAATTACTAGGTGAAAGATGGTAAATGGAGACCAGCAGAACAGCAACTGAGCTACAACGCTACCGAATGCTCCCACTGCATTGCATGGCTTGGACTTTTCCTCACTGGACCGCAGCCTGGTTTCCTGAAGGTATCTTACAACACAATCCTGAGCAGCAGCGCACGCAGCGCATGGCAATGGGAAGAGTTCTTAGTTTTATGATGCCGCAGTTGCTTATTCCACGCTTGAGAGGCTCACTCATTGATCCCCCACCCCCTCAAGGTACCAGCCTTGCCGCTTCCACGACATGTTTATTACCAGCTTCAGATGACATAAGATGACTGAATTTAAGGCGTCGCCCGCTTGTTGGCTCAACCTTTCTCTTGGAGTGTTCCTCGTACAACCGTCTTTGAACAAATCACCTAGAAACTTGCCAGATTTGAGCTCTTACCATGGTGGCACCCAATAAGTAACAGATCAAAACACTATGGTGCCACCCAATGCACAGTGCAAGCACGCAGTGCATTCACAAAGTGTAGACACAGAGCGTTCGCTTTGCACGTGAGGCATGTAACAAGTATTATGTAGGTGTAATATCATTCACCTTTTCCTTGCAAGAGGTGGCTGCCAGGCGAACGATTCAGTTTTTGGCCGATTTCCAAGAGCCAACCTGGATGTGCTCTGGCAATGGTGCCTTGACTGACTGGGCTGAACTGGGAATCTAAAACACTTCACTGTCCTCCATTCTGGTTCAAACAGCGCTGTACTTTGGGATCCTGGATTAACCAGGGATGCTGAGAACACAGCCAAGGCGTCCATACTAAGCGTCCAGGTGCTTGCAGCACTGGCATTCTGGATTGCAATGAGTGCTGGCACCTGAGGTCTTACCATTGAGAATTCTCGTAAAAGGAAGACATGGCTTCTTGTTCCTAGTAGCGATGCACTTGCTCCTAGTAGCGATGCCCTTTGTTACTAGTAGCTTCTTGTTCCTCACCAAATCATGTATTTGAGAATTCAAGAAAGCAGCTGGCTTTATCTAGTTGGCTGACCTTTGCCTTGGCAAGGGCTTGAAGAGGGCAGTGACCAACTGCCTGTGATTTCTTTTACCAATTGCTTTTGGCGCAATCTGGAATCTGAACTCTCTTTTCTACTTATCTACTTTTCACTAACACTCACTCATCATCCGGTCTCTTTCACACAACCTACCCCTACCGCTGCATATATACTTTCACGCATAGTTCTACAATTCTACGTTAGTCACTTATCCGACCAGTACATGAACCACTTTCTACGCTGAACCATCCCTAGTCACAAGTTTGACAAGCTGCTTGTTCCTTCCAGGTATAACATCTCGTGTTCAAGCAACTCTTGTCCTCTCTTTTCTTCTCTTCATGCCCACACTTTATATAAAGGAAAAGCATTACGGAAACACACGGCAAATTGAAAAAATAACATCAAGAGGACTCTGGCCTTGCTTTCCCTTCAAGCACCTGTCTGAGGCCAGCATGATAATATTCAATGCAGCTCTTTTGCGCCTGGGATTTAATTTGGAGATGTGAAGGAGCAACAATACAACTTGAACATCCAAGAGACAACAGACCAGCTTGCAGCAGCTTCTATATAAACAACTGATCTCAGACGCTGCTTGAGCTCAGGCAAGGCTTCAGGCATCCAGTTTGGCTCACCTTCTGGCACCAATCAGATTCTTGCTCAAAATATGGCTGAAGCACAGTAATGGGACACGTTAATTTTAAGCATGTATTTGTTCAAGCCTTTTGCTTTTCAACTCAGGTGAGCACCTGCTTGGTTTTTATGCTTCGATTGGTGAAGCCTTCATTGGTCAGCACTGGTGATGACAAGGCCAGGCCGGGAAGGCTACTATAGGACCTATCCCTTGCGACAGATACAACTTGATCCGACACTATTTGGGGTCCCTCAATTTTTGTAGTTGATCATCAGACTTTTTTGCTTTTTCTCGGATGCAAACACATGTAGCTATGCACAGGATGGCCGGCCGGCCCTGACCTTAAAGGGGGCCTTGCGCATTGGCATCCCAGTTGCTGCGGCGCAGTGTGTGGGCCTCATCGCTGGGAATACCGCCACTTGGCCAATTTTCATTGTCCTTTCGCTGGGAATATCGCTTGTTTTTTTAGTTCAAAGTATCCATGGACATGCCAGCCTTGAGTGTTTCAGACAGAGATGTCAAAAGACGGTCCAGGCAGTGATGTACATCTCTGTCAGCTTTTGTCAAATGATAAAAGCTTGGACTCCTGCGTGGCTTGGCTATTGGAAACGAGGCTTATGCAATCACTAGTAGGGAGTAGGAATTATACTAGCTTGTGGCATGAGCACAAACAAAAGAAACGTCAAATAACTCTTGACAAAATGAAACGCACCGGGGAGATTTGACACAAATCCTGTTGCTTCTACGAATCTCTAGTTTAATTTGCCAAGTCTTCCTACTCTTCCACAGTACTACCGGATCTCAGGTGTGTATATGGAGTTGGCTGCCTTGTCCGACTCTCAGATTGGGCTTTTAATCGTCTTGCGAAGCGAAAGAAAATCCAGAAAGGTCGGCACGCAGAAGTGGTCTTCTGCCACTGCAAAGACCTTGGCGACCATCACAACTGGTCTGAAGCCAAGAGGATCCGAGGCAACTCTCCTTCAACTCTCTCTCGGCAGCGATAACAACATCTCTTTAGGTCTGATGATCACCAGCGTCGGCGAGCTGAAATTTGAGCTGCTCCTTGTTTTGACAGGAGGTTGGTACCAAGTGTATCGAGGGGCAACACATCATGAAGCAGGTTCCGAAAGAAGAATACCGAAAGATGTCCACAATCCTGCGAGGTCTCAATGATGTCCACAGGTCTTTTCAGATCAGAGTGAATTGGCGTTGCTTTCTTTGCGAGGTATGGCTTCATAATGCAGTGCACGGCGCTGCTGTCCGAGGGTCTTCGAATAAATTTGCTTGCACCTGAGTCGGCCGAGAGCTTTAACACAGGAGTCAAGCTTCATATCATGATCAAGTATGCCGCCTCTCAGGCTCGAAATGCTTTTGAAATCGATACTTGGCATTAGCACTTTCTGGAATGTTGACAGGTGTGGAACATGTGGAAACTTCTATATAGTGACTACTAGTGTTCTTGGGTAGAATGTTGGTTCCTTTGTTTTGTAGACCTGGCACATTTAGGTCGGGCTACAAGCTCAACCCGCTTAGCTCGGTCATGGTATTTGCACCAGTTGCTTCGGCCATCCTACTGCTCCTTGCCAGCATGCCCCAGCATGTTTAGGTTTGAAGCCCGGCTCGGGTCTTAGCTTAGCCGTTGAGAGCGTAGGTGCATTGGTCTTGCAACGGATGCAGATGCGGTTTCGCTGGATGCAGCTCGGCTGGCTGGCTTGTGTAGGTATAGATTCATTTATTGTTTGTTGTAGCAGCAATGGATGCTAGTGCCCCTTTCCACTGACCGAGTTGTGTGAACATCAAGCAAAACGCTTGTGCCAGCAGAATGGCTGAGGTGATCCACAATATAGGAGAGATAGCGCTTCTGGCCAATGCTGTCATTGCAGCTAGTCTCAGACTTGGTCAAACATCCCGAACTGCTGTCGTGCAGCTCAACGGGTGAACCAATCAACAAATGGGCGCTGCCCTCCCACAGAACGCGTCATTGCTCCTGTAACATGCTGTAACAATGTCTACTATGTCATCTAATTGTAGGTCCTAGTTCATCCTGTCACGGTCTGAAGCCTTAAGTCACCCCCAGTCAACGTGAAACCTTGATTGCCAATCAAGGAAGTCCACACTTTCTTACTCCAATCTGAAAACAGCTTTTACACCAGAGCATGGCAATTGATACCATTGATCGTTGTTTATTCTGGTCATTTCTGATTTCCTTGGTAGCTTTGCGTCAAGCGTCGGATTGGCCGCTCGCTCTCTCCGGCTCCCCTCTCCCACTTGGGCGTTCTTGATGCCCCGGGCGTGGTTTTGGATTTAGCCTCTGTGTACACATGACCTTGACCCTGCGAATTTGCCGTTTATGTTCATGTTTGATGTCTACAATTCCGATGAACAGAGAATCTACAGGAGTTTGCAGGTTTGGACATCTCAGGCTTTTCTCCTCAACATTGCTATCTACATTGCCATTCAAGTTGCTTCTGGCTTGATCTACGCCTTAGCTGGCATTGTCAAGGCGGGTGGTTCATGAAGGAGCTGCTTGTAGCAGGAGGTTTCTTGGAATGATTTAGCTTTGGCCTCAAAGGATGTCTCCATCATCATGGGTTCAGTCTCTTGGCCTGCACAAGAAAGATGATGTAATCCCCGTCCGCTGATCGGTTACAGGAGAGAGGGTCAAGTGAGTGTCTTCAAAGATAGGAAGCAATGGACAAGACTACATAGCCTTGAACACGGGAGCGGATCATTTGCATGCACTGAAATTCTAAGAACGCTCTAGACAGCTCTACTGCGTCCTTGCACTCACTGCCGGAGGTTCCTGTACTACTTAAGCATAAATCTAGCACTACATACTCACGACCTATATACCCTTCTTTAAAGAAGATGTCACCATCCTTCACGTGATGGGCCATGTTTTTTTAAAGGTGGCCCTTATGGGCAGTCCTGTGTCTGGAGTGCAGATGTGTCTTCGGCTGCATTTTGTATTTATGAGGCTTACGCCTGACAGCCGGGCGCCGGCCAAGCAGGGTGAGGGTTTGTGTTCAACGGTTTCGCTCTTGGCCCTAGGTTGGGCCAAGTTGAGCCCATGTGGTCTATGCTAGGCACATCTTGGGCCCAAGTTGAGCCTATGTTGGGCCTAGGTCGGCCTATGTTAGGCCTATGTTGGCCTAGGTTGGGCCTATGTTGAGCCTATGTTGGCGTATGTTGGCCCCATGTTGGCATATGTCGGCCCTATGTTGAGCCATCTTGGAGGCTATGTTGGGCATATGTTGGCTATCTTGGGCCTATGTTGGGGAAATGTTAGGCAACTTCTGTGCCCAACACCCACGAAATGTCGATTAAGCCCGTCCGCGCGGCACGCATAACCGACACCACCAGTGCCCTGTTAGACGCAAGTCATGTCCGCCGAAGGCCACGAAACACTGTAAAAAAACGATGTTTTCCACATCATGCGCAATCATGCTGGTAGATAAAATATAAATAACATAAAAATCCGTCAAAAATCTGTCGACACGCTTCGGGCGGGGGTATACACGCGGTCCAACAAAAGGGTCGGCGGCAGGGGCGGCGAGCGTATATAACCTTCGGTTACCACCGAAGGCCTCCGGCAAGGACACGGGCCCGTGGCCGGCGCCCGGATTGTAAGGGCTTCGCCCGGGTGCCGCCGACCCCTTTTCAAGAGGAGTGTAGCATGTGTAACTGAAGGCGTTAGTGTCGTTCCGGTGGTTGCCCGTCTGCGGAAAGAAGATGGGTGTTCTAGCCTTAGGCGTGGCCTCGGACAGGCTAACTGTGGCCTGTGCTAAAGCCCACAAAGGTGGAGATGCCAATGCCAATAAGGTTGCACTCTGCGAGGCGCCGAGAAGCGTCTGAGGGGGGCCGTCGCCTTCGGAAGCCTAGAAAAGAAGAGGCTGGCCTCGGCTGCTAGCGCCGTACGTGGCAGCCCAGGCCATGCCAAGGCTGCGTGGCCTCGGACAGGCTAGCTGTGGCCTGTGCTAAAGCCCACAAAGGTGGAGATGCCAATGCCAAGGTTGCACCCTGCGAGGCGCCGAGAAACGTTTGAGGGGGGCCGTCGCTTCGGAAGCCTAGAAAAGAAGAGGGTGGCCTCGGCGGTTAGCATCGTATGTGGCAGTTCAGGCCATGCCAAGGCTGCGTGGCCTCGGACAGGCTAGCTGTGGCCTGCGCTAAAGCCCACAAAGGTGGAGATGCCAATGCCAAGGTTGTGCCCTGCGACCCCAGGATATACACCAACAACAGCAATCACAGCAGCAGCACTAAGAAGAAGACCCAGAAGCATCACAAGATCAGAAAAACCACTAGCGACAGGCAGCAAGAAGCATAGTAGCAATGCCTCTGTTCTGGCTGTGCTAATAGACTGGCGGCTGTTTGCGGGGGCCTTGTTGGACAGCCCAGGTGCTGAGCCAGCAAGGCTTGTGCTGCGGCGGTCCAAAATGCCTCACGTCGCCTTCGGAAGCCCATAAGAAGAGAGGAGGCAGGCTTCGGACAGGCCACAGAGAGGCCGCAACAGGCCTGCCAGCTGCCGAGGAGCGTTTGAAGGCGGTCCAAAATGCCTAACGTCGCCTTCGGAAGCCCATAAGAAGAGAGGAGGCAGGCTTCGGACAGGCCACAGAGAGGCCGCAACAGGCCTGCCAGCTGCCGAGAGAGGAGGCAGGCCTTGGACAGGCCACAGAGAGGCCGCAGCAGGCCTGCCAGCTGGCGAGGCCTCGGACAGGCCTTTGGAAGTGCTTGGAAGGGTTCTGCTAGGCTTGGCCAACTGCTTCACCCTGCGGTGTCCCAGGCGCCTCCCCGCCTAGGCTTTGGCTATAGGCCGGGGTCGGCGGATATTGACATTGCAGATAGTTCGCTCACAAATCAGGTAGCAACGTACTTGGGCTGAGGCATTTTGACACTTGAAAACCAAATAGCATTCTGTGTCTTTCTTGCCAAGACTTGGCTATATTATCGCCCTTGCTGGCATACAGGCTTATGGTTTCTCGGCAGCATCAGGATCCGAACGAAGCATGCACCAGGTACCTACAGCAAGGTCTTTCTCCATTGGAATCTAAAGTATCTAAAGTAAATGATGAGCCTAGCGAACATCCATACATTCAAGCCGATTCTGCGGGTACCACTCGACCAATGCAAGATGTTCTAGATATATTTGCCAAACTGTTGGACAGGTCAAGTGAGCAAAGCACCGGCTGCCTGGCTGCAGACAAGAAATTCTTCGACCATCTACCACCGTTCCTAAAAGGCAAGTCTGAAGAACACAAACTAAGACAAGGAAAACAAGCAGCACCCAGGCTCCATTGCGCACACAGGCACCTCTTCCTACACTTGAAGTAAGAGCCCCAATGGCTCTCGCTAGCTGGGGAAAAAAGGACAGCAAGACAAAGTGACCCTTACCAGATTGCGAGAGCTATTGGGTTTTTTATTTCTAATGCAGGAGGAGGTGCCAGGGCGCTGCCACAATTTTTTTAATATTTGGCGTAATTCTTGGCTTTCTTATCTCACTTATCACTCTTTTTTTTCTAGAGCGCTTCCTGAGGCCAAGTTTGAAAGTGGTGTCATCAACGGCCTGTACCGGGAGATCAAGGCACAGCCATGAATTTGGTTTTGCGAGCAAAGCAGCCTGGCTGTGCAGGGCTGGCAGCTTCCTCAGCAACTGGAACCTGTGACCCCGCTGAGTATCGGGACTGGAGCAACTTGGTTGATTCTTTTTCTCGAAGACATCGTGCGTTTGAAACATGTTTTGTTTGAATGAAAAGGTGCTACTCCCTTTCTTGGTTTGTGTTTTTGAGGTAGTGACCCGCAGTGGAAAGCGGGAGGAAGTCATTGGGAAGATCGAGTTCCTGGAGGTCCTGCTTTTTGAGTCATAAAGATTCCGAAGATCAAGTAGATCCCAAGGTACAGTAGAAACTTCAAGTACCCCCCAGGAGTCTGAGGCTTGCAAACTTGGATTTTTGAATGCCCATCCATAGCTTAGCATTCAGGCAGCATTCCTGGCCAAAGCTTTCTCACCAAATTTCCCAAGCCACATTCCTTCGTGTCCTTGGACATTCCAGTGCTTTGAACAGAACCAGCATACCAAAAACTGAAAGAAAGGTGGACAATACAATATAATCTATAATATTATGTCTTCAAGTCCTCTCTGCTCTTCGCAGGTTGATTCTGAAGTGCGTGATCTGGAGTCCAACCAAGAGAAAGAGAGCCACTTGCCTTCAATCTCTGCGATCCTGGCGGAGGGTACTTGTCAATACTTGTCCTGAGGTTTTGAGAGCGATGAAGTCCTCTACCGCGAACGAAATGGAAGGCGACGGCAAGTCTGGGGACTCGCCACGCTTGCACGCTTGGGCACCTGAGCTTGGGCACTTGGTGTTGCCCACATGTGCCCACCATGGTCATCTCTGGTCAAGTTTCGTTTTGGAGAGGGACTAGTAGCAAGAAGCTACTAGTAACAAAGGGCATCGCTTCTAGGAGCAAGAAGCTATTAGTAGCTCCTGGCCTCACTACTAGGAACAAGAAGCTACTAGGAACAAGTGCCACGCTAGTAGTAACAGGTGCCTTACTAGTAGTAACAAGAAGCTACTAGGGGCTCCTGGCCTCACTACTAGGAACAAGAAGCTACAAGTTGCCTCTTGCGGTCTCAAGTTCTCGAAGGGACTACCAGTCTAGAGTCCGGCCGCATCCGCGGCTTGGACCTTGTGGTTGCCTTTGGGGCTCCAGGTCTCATATCTTTTGCAGTGGTGGACTGTACTGTCTGGGACGAGCTTATGTGACTGCTTCAAACGGTGCTTCTTCACCATAACTCGGTCTCGTTTGACACCATCACAGTTTCCATATATATATATATAAATAGATTCCTTTGTTTCCGGGCTGGGAAAAATCTATTGTCAGGGACAACCATGGGACCTCATGGTGACCATGGGTGTGGGAGAATGGATTCATTTCCTCATTATATATACACTCAGTAGGCCTTAGTATACCAATATGTAATAAACAGGAGGGCGTTTTGTTTTCCGTGGATTGTTTTTGTGTTGCGTTTAGGGATTTCTTTGTTGGATTTGCTTCTTGTTGCTTTTCTGGCTTTTCATTGCTTCCCTGTGATTTCTCCTGCTTTTCTTGCTTTTCCTGCTTCTTGTCCTCTTGTGATGTATTGTTTCCATGCTTTAATGCTTTCGCTTTCTATGGCCTTTGTTGCTGTTGCTTTTTATTAGTTGCTTTGCAAGCCTTGAGTTTGTGTTGCTTTATTATTGCTTTTCTGGCTTTCAATACTTTTCCTACTCTTTTGGTTTGTTTTCTGCTCTGCTGCTCTACTGGTTGTTATGTCTTGTTTCACCTTAAGGGACAACCCAAGTGCATCACACCTTCTCGATTATGATGCACTTGTTTCGTGTTTGTTCGCCCTGCGGCCGGAGTTTTTGTTTTTGCCTTGTGGTCCAGTTGGTTTTTACTTTTCGCACACAGGCCCTAGACGCCCTGAAATAATCATGAACATGAAAATGGCCTCCTGGACACTTGTTTCTTCTACAAACCGCTAGCTTTCCACTTCCACTGGAGGAACTATATAGAAACCACAACAACGGCAAAAGAATTCACCAAACGCAACACCAAAAGCATCCAAATAAAACCGCACCCTATTGAAAACAAGTTGACAATGCTCCAAAAAGAGGGAACACTGCGAGTATATATATCCATGAAAACAAATAACAACAGGGCTGCATTTTCTCTATAAGTAATAAAACCATTTATTGATCAAAAGGCGTCCAAAAGTGGGAAACAGTTGGTAACAGGAACAAATTAGGTTTTGGTGGGATTTGATTAGGAAAACATTGAGGCGTGACCTGTTTGTTTTTCTTTTTGGCTTTGTTGGGCATTTTTTGTTGACAGGTGATGAGTGGGAATTGTGCGGGAAGGATCTAGGTTTGTGCAGGTTTGAAGTAGCATGTGTGATGTGAAAAGGTGTGAGAAGGGTCAACGTGTCATGTGAAGTGGTATGAGACATGGATCAAATGTGGGAGTGTGCCTTTCATCATTAGTGTTCACCACTGACTCAGGCTGAGTGAACCTTTTGTGGTTGTGGAGTAAGTTAGAGATGCCTCTTTGATCTGCTAGCCCTGGCAGGTACGATGCACAAGCATCTCCGCCGGACTTTGCGCGGTAATTCAGGTTTCCTGCCTCATGCAGCTCCCGCTGGTTTGAGCAGCAGCGGACTGGCTCTTGCTTCCTGCCATTGGTTTGAGTTCATAGCTGCATGCTAAGATGCGTTGCACCAAAAAATGTATATATAAGCTTAATTCATTCTCATGGGTAGCCATGATGGGAGAGAGAAGACGAGCTCTCTTGGCCTCGGTTGGAAAAAGATTGCAAAAAGAAGGGACAACTCTTTGAGGAAATTCTTTAAAGACAGGAGATGAACACTCCCTTAAAGGGGCCTTGTTCAAGGGGCCCTACCTTCCTTTTGCCACATTTTTCTTCTAGTACCCGATGACTGATAGCACTAGGCTGCATTATGTGCTCAGGCCCTGCTGCTGGCAGAGGGTCTTCTTTCACAAGACCGGAGAGGCAACACCAAAGATCGACTAAGACATATTGAACATGAAGACCTTTGCGGCTTTAGGACCTTCAGGACCTCTTGGACCTTTGAGATGCTTTGAGATTGGATTTTTGAGGTTTTGCAATATTCATTTCGCAGTATCAAGAAGTCCAGGCAGTCTCCCGATGGCTGATGTGGTCACCCTCGGCACTGCCTTTGTAGCTTGTGGGGAAGGGATGCCGACGCCTAAGAGAATCATCACTCTTCAGCTTGAAACCGCAAACTACAGCAACTACACAATCACCTTGGCTCCAAGGCAGTGGCAGGCGAGCGAACTTGTCATTGAGTCATCTCTGGGTGAAAGGTGACACTGAGTAAACTGCGGGTGTAATCCTTGAATGGAGGAAGATGAGACATTGTAATCCTTCGCGGAACTGGCAATGCCGGCTACTTTTTTAGTATATACTGTAGCTCTATCTTCGGACAGATACTCAGTCGATTTACGATGTTTTTCACGCCCGCACCCAAACACTCCAAACACCTTTGTTTGCAAAGAATATAACAAATACCCAACGCTCTGCTGTGTATGCACTTTCTGACTTTTGACACATCACGAAAGCTAGCATGCTAGCTGAGTTCTTAATTGCTTTAGCAATTCGTAGTGGAATGAGCTGCGTGCCTTAAAGCTTGATATATCACACTAAGGGGGGTGGGGCCTGGCCCCCCCACTCTAGCGTGATATATCACGCTAAGGACCCCCCCCTCCCCCCCCCCCGCGGTTCAACTCCCAGCTGCAGGCGTTTTGGCATTAGTGGGGGTGTTGTTACATGTTGGAGATTGTTGGTGTTTTGTTTGGTATTTTCAAAACCAGGATGTCAAAGACATCATGCACTTGAATTTTGGATGATCCTGGATAGCGGAAACACATGTAATTACAGGAGAATCAAGATGACACTCATGGGATTTTGCTTGCGTTTTTGCAAAACATCCACTGATTTAGTGTTGACGAGCTTTGACGGAAGCATGGTCAGCTTCGTCGGAAGCATGATCATTTGCTCGTTTTTTCTTGTGGACGCATCACATAACATTTCGGCTGCGCCTCGTCAGTTGATGAATCTTCATTACCTGAGAGCAAAGTGTTTGAATTTACTGTCTTGGATATGTGTGGTTTAGCAAAATCACGAAAGCTAGCATGCTAGCTGAGTTCTTCTTTGCTTTAGCAATTGGTAGTGGGATGAGCTGTGTGCCTTAAAGCTTGATATATCACGCTAACCCCCCACGGTTCGACTCCCAGCTGCGCCGTGTAGCGGGGGTTGGTTGAACGTGTGAACGTGGTTGGTTGGGTGTAAACGGTGGCTTGGTGTAAACGGTGCTGCTGCTGCCGCTCTGCTGCTTGCTGCTGCCGCTGGTTGGCGCTTTTGTAGCTGCTGCTTTGCTACTTGTTGCGGCCTGGTGCTGCTGCTGCTGCTGTTGCTGCTGACGACGCCGCTGCTGCTGCTGCTGCTTGCTGCTTGCTGCTGCTGCTGCTTGCTGCTTGCTGCTTGCTGCTTGCTGCTGGTGGTGGTGGTGCTGCTGCTGCTGCGGCTTGGTGCTGCGCTGCTGCTGCGTGGTGCTGTTGGCTGGCTGCTGGTTGGTGGTTGCTGCTGGCTGCTGGCTGCGGACTGCTGGCTGCTGGCGGCTGCTGCTGCTGCTGCTGCTGGCTGCTGCTTGCTGCATAGGACTTGTACTTCACTGTTACAAGTTCTTTACCCCTATTTCTAACCTAATGCGTGCATAAGCGGGTGGCAAATTTACCACCCAGGTTTGCTATAACCATCAACCGGCTATTTCCTCAAGACACTCTATTCCTGATACCTTTTACCAGTGCTTGTCTTACACTACGGACGCCCTAGTGTATGCACAGTCCTTGTGATGCTTACCCCTCGTTCCGGCTCAAGGCATACATAAGTGGGGGGAAATCTACCCCCCAGATTTGCCATAACCATAAGCCGGCTATTTCCTCAAACACTCTACCCCTTATACCTTGTACCAGTGCTTATCCTACACTACGGACGCCCTAGTGTATGTACAGTCCGTGTGATGTCAGAAATGCTTACCCCTCTTTTCCGACTCAAGGCATACAAAAGCGGGGGGTAAATTTAACCCCCAGATTTGCCGATCACGCATCTTCGTGCCTGCCAACGAGTGCGCCCATGTTGTTCCAATGTACCCTTCCCAGTCGGCGATGTCACATTTACATTCTTTAGCGCAAAGTATGTGCGTAGCAACCTTTCTCCCAACACATGTAATCACTACATGCTTTGCCGACTATGTAACTAGTACATCCGGTGCGATTCGGCTAGCTTTCGACCTCCTCCCCCTGGCCTCAAGTTAAGGGGCTCAAAACACTGTAAGAATACTATACACACCTCATTACACCCGTAATTGCGAGATGTTTATGAGATTAGCCTTTTGCACGGTGAGACCGCATGTGTTCCTAAATACACACACATGTATATATATATAAACAATAAATCCCAGTGTTTCTGGAAGATTCAAACACGACCCAAGGTGGACAGACACACATATTCAAAAAGACTCGGCACCACACAAAAAATTCACCACCGCAGGTGTTGCTGTCCAACGTCGCTTCTGAAAGTTCATAGAACAGCGAGTCATCTAAGGGCCCTTTGATGGTCCTTTGTAAAGCCGACCGAAACGTGTAATCCCAAGGAATGGTCTTCCGAAAGTCAAGCCCATTTGGGGCGTGCACTCCCACTCACTAGTGATCGGCGGATAGAAAGAGAAGATGAGACAGGAGACATCAAAGTAGTACTGCCAGGAGCCACTAAGTAGCGTCCTTGCTCCTAGTAGCGATGCTCTTTGTTCCTAATAGTTTCTTGCTACTAGTAGTGATGCCAGGAGCTACTAGTAGCTTAAGAATCTAGGTTCGCGTTGGCACTTGGACAGGCCGCCGTGTCTCTGCTGCATAGATCGCAGCGAATGCGTTTGGCACCGCATGGGGCACTGCTCTCGTTGCTGGATTGTATGAAGGCGACATGGTGTTTGAAAGCCACCACCGTTGCTGTGGTTTGGCATTCACGATGTGCAAAGTTGCTTTGCAGGTGGCAGGCCGTTGGCAAGAAGCACTTGAGTCTCTTTGACTCGCTTAGCGCTTCTGCCATCCCAAGAGGAAATAGACCTGACGGAGTCACATTTCTCATGGTCACTTGGTGGGTTTGCATCAAAAGCCAAGATTCATGTTCCATCCTTGCTTGCGCCAGGATCCAAGCCCAATTCAAAGCATGGGACGGGATGACCTTCAGCCATGCCTGCCTGCCCAGTGCCAGTACCCGCAAATGATCCAAAGTGTCCAATGAAATTTGCTTAGCTGATGTTGCTTAAAACGATGATTCTTGCGACGCGATTGCAAGTTGACCACAGAAGTGATGTTTGTTTGCTTCTTTCACATTCGTGATCGTTCTTTTTCTTCCTAGGTGCTGACTAGGACAAGGATAGACATTCTGTTGCAAGGCTAGGTATATAAATGAGACCAAAGTGATACCACATCGTGTACTGTACTGTAGGTCCTGGCTGTACTTGGGACATGCGGTCGCCGGATGCTCAGATGCTCCTTTGCTTAGAAGATCAAAGGAGTCGAGATTTGACTCTGAAAGCCAACGCACTATTTGCCATGGGCTCGGACTAAACATGACACCAAAATGAATGTGTCACCCTCAACACATAACTTCCTACCCTATCTCTTTGCACAGTTGTTCCACAGGTTCCTGGCATTTTGAAGCATGAACAGGTACATATATAGCTGGAAACATCATTGCATTTTTGGAAGGTTGGGAGCTGGCTCTCACATCAGTTCTACCTGAGATGCAGAAGCGAGACATTGCACTTGATTCGCGGTGGCCTCAGTAAGCAAAGGTCTCAAGTACAAAGCTCTCTGGTTTGTGGATTTTCAACGAATCTCAAGAGATTGGACATGTACTTGAGGCATGCCTACTCAGCGCTTTTGGGTGCGTGTACTGCCTGGGCTTCAACAAGAGAGGTCCAACATCGTACATGCCATAAATGCTTCTTGACAGTTTGTCCCTATGCCTTGGAAGCATCGTGGCTAAGAACGGAGGGCAAAAAGTTAGCCGCCCTTCTATTGACTGTGAGTAGCAGCGGGCTGCACGCTTGCGAGTAGAACCCGAGTGCGTGTGTTGGACATGTTCAACGTGCTTGATTTATGTTGATTCATTGTTAAACCCACGCCAAACCGCTATGCTTTCAATCAACAGATTGTGTCCATCGGTCTACTTCGCAAAAACCACATTAACCAGTAAACAACAAGATGAAGCCATATGAAGCCCACAAGCCCGAATGCAAAACAAGTTGCTACGCCTGTCTCGGCTTCTCATTCGAAGAGCCTCGGCATTGGAGTCCCGCAGTAGGGTTCAGACATCCCTGAAGCTCCGAAAGGTTCACCACAAGCAGCCGTATTGGTTTTGGCACATCTCGGCACCAAGCCACCAAACTGAAAACTGTACAAACAAAACAAAGCAGCAAAGGCAAAGGCATCAACTAATTAATCGTTTAGGCCGAACGGCAGCTGGACCAGTTAGGGAGTCAAGGCATCTTAAGGCCGCAAGGCCCTCCACCATGCCACCTTCCTTTCCCACTCAAGAGCTTGCTAAGTTTTCAATATATCTTTTTCCCTAAAAGCATGTTTGGAGGATTTGGGTTTGAAGTGCCCACGACTTGGCAGGCAGCGGCTGCGAGCTTTGGATCTCAGCTGCTGAAGCAGGCGAACGCTACGCAGGTGGACCACAGAATGACAGTGGGGAGTGAAGCCGCAGAGGGACGGGTCGACACGGCAGAAGCAACGACCAAAAGAAACGCGAAGGACTAAGACATATCATCTCTTCATATCAAGCATGCAATGCAAAAGCATGCACTGTACAACAACATAAGCTGCATAAGTAGCCAAATTTCGCTGGGCTTTGTTGTCCAGCTATTGATCGTGGCATTTGCCATCATGTGAGACATTGATAGATGACGTAAGAGCACAGTGAAGCAACAAGAGCAAAAGCCAACATTCGTTGTGAGTTTCAGCTGGGCCTTGAGAGGGTCAGTAGAGTGGAAGTATTTCAACCGTCCCAAGCAGCTTGAGCAGTCCATGGTTACACTAAGGTTAATGATATCGTGGTGGAAAACATGCTTCGGCTACTAGAGCTCGAGACTCAATGTCGAGGACCTTGTGCCAGGCATCGAACAGGCAGACAGGTGGACATTTGGAGACCGATTTCGTCAAGCTCAGGCAAGCTGAGTTGTGGGAAGATGCCCTTGAGCTGCTGGCAAAGGACGAATCCGTTGATGTTGGGACATGCATCGTAGCCGTGGGCCCGTAGTGACCACCAGTACTTTAAATCCTGCATGGGAATCAACAGCAGGAGCCCCAAAGGCCGCTCGGCACCGAGATTGTCGCGATGTCACAAGAGCTACAGTCAAAGCAAAAGCGCGCGTAGGCCGAGTGGGTTCCTCCTGTTGCTAATTGGCAGGCCCAACCTGATCCACTATGCCACGGCAGCAAGTGCATGCGCCAAGGTGGCCAGGGACTGCTTGGTGTCCTTTCATGAAAGCCAGCTTGCCATCGGGAAGACTCTTTGTTAAAGCAAGAGTGTACATGGGTCTAAGGCTCATTTTTGTAAAAGACTGGTCTGGGACGAGCTTGAGAGGATATAGCAGGAATGATCAGAAAGCAATTCCAGCATCGAATCCGCACTCATAAATGCAGGCGGACCAACAATCTGAAATGTGTATAACAGGATTCATCATTCCGTGATAGTGCTGGTAGGAAACAAATAAGATCTTGTGAACACAAGGACCCTACTGATTGGAAGCTGTAATCGACATGATGAAGATTGACGATGGTAATAAATTATTGGGGCCTGAGTCATGAGGCCTTATTTGTACGAATTTCTACGCATTGAAATTCTGGAAGGTAGCCAGGTCAAGCAGATGAGGGTGATGCACAGTCCAGGTTCATTGCTGGGAAATGTGTTTGGAGCTACTATGCCATCTAAATCAGGCGTGTCAGCATTTTGGAACTTGTCCAGTCATGACTGCGACAAAGACTTGACACAAGCACACACACACACATGAACGAAATGGGAGAACGTTAAGACCGTACACCGAAGTACACTGAACCTTGTACACTTGTACATGAAGGCAGCTGCAAGACCTGACCTGGTGTTGAGAAGTGCTGCCATCAGTGCTTGTGCCGAGCTCATTGGCATATTTGGCGTATCTACAGTGGATTCCACAGCAGATCTTACGAAGCGTTATTGAACCTTTGACTTAAGGTGAACGCAGCTATCAATGGCAGCATGCTTTGGCCCTTCTGGTCAGCTGGGGGGTTGAAAGACTGGAGAACATTACTGTACCTTTGTTCACTTGTTCCTAGTAGCGATGGTAGTGTGCCTCCTTGTTACTAGTAGTAATGCACTTGTAGCATCGTACAGGCAAGTGACGTAAAAACAGTGGTGGACCCCACCTGACGCCTCCAGAGCTGCGAAGACACGCGAAGACACGAAGGGTCCACTGACAGGATGCCATGGGCAACGACCTGATTTTGCCCGACTCCGTTGCGCCAGATCCTTTGTTCTGGCTGTGGGATGGTGTGCCAGGTTTTTGGTGGCTCGATGCATATACAGAGCCGCTCGCGTTTGAACAGCATTTTGTTTGACTTTTGTGATCAGCAAGTTCAAGCACTTTGCTGTCATTGATCAATCGAATTGGCTTGATCTCTGCATCCTACTATTCTTTTTCGGTTCTGCTGCCGCTGAAAGTAGGCACGGCAAACAACTGTTAATGATCATATAACTGTTAATGGTTTTGCTATCAACATTGTAGCGGAAAAAAGTAAACCAGAAGACCATCAAGACACTCGCATGACTCCCAACAACGGATCCGGTTTCAGCATTGCAGAGCACCGCTAGGATAGAGCGTCATTCTTTGTTTAGTAGCCATGGCTCTGGGGCACCAAAGGCACTGGAGCTTCTTTTCGGGTGCTCATTTGGACCATGAATGTTTGCACCATCGTCGGTCTTCCATCACTTCAACCGCAATGGAGGCGGGCCAGCTTCCTGGCACTTGCTGCACTTGCTGCAGTCTTTTCTTTGCTGCCTAGGTTCATAGCTCAGCCCAAACTCGTCCACCTTTTGGCAAACCTCTCTTGGACCCAGTTTGTTCCCCCTGCTGCAAGGTACATACCAGATATTGCGTGGGTCACCACAGTGCCTTTCCAGCTTTTGTTGGACTCTCAAGGGCCAGAAACCCACATGCCAGAGGAAAATGCATGAACATGCTCACTTGTACTTAGCTGTCCTTGGACCTATAGTCTAAGGCTGTCAGCCAGACCTTATGCAAGCCCACGAAGAACGGAGACTGGTATGAGGCAGGTTAGCTTGAAGATTTCTCATAGCTTCAGATGAACAAGAGCTTCGATTTGTCAGGTCAGCACCAAGCGATCTGGATCCTGCAGTCGCAGAGAAGCTCAAAGCCGCACAGGCACATTTCAATGTTCACCCACACCTTGTTACTATGTGACTTCTGTCAAAGCGATCTAGTGAAGTGAGGGAGCGCATTGAAGTCCAAGAGCGCCTTGAAGTAGCAACCCTAGTAGTCAAAGTGAAGAAGTAGGACCGATGCAACGAGTGACTCGGCTCTAGTGGTCAATGCGCCAGGAGAGGATCTCTCAAGCCAAGCAAGCCATGGCGGTGCTCAGGCGAGGGTGCTCCGATGCAACTGAAATGGATCCGACCGCTCTGGAGACGTCGCTGACCAGAGCCTTAGAGTCTTAAAGCCTCGCTTGGCCCAGACAAAAGGAGAGCTTTGCCGAGCTTCGACCGAATTCGCCGAATCGCAGGAACGAGCTTTGTGGTCGCAACTTCTTCTCCCCAGAGATCGATCGCTCCCTGCTGATAGAGGTCCTCCGCCTTTTCGCGCCAGAGGCTCTCCATGGAGAAAGGGGTTGAAGTATTTTTTTGGAGAACAAGAGAGGAAAGAAGAGGACATGATCTCTGAATGGCGATGGCTTGAGCTCGTAAGACTTTGGGAACAGCACTGCGTGCCAACTGTGCTTTGCAGAGTGCGAAACCTATGCGGGAGCCCATACTTCAGAAGGAGCTGATCAACATGATTCCGGCCAGCCGGTAGCATAAAGCTCTTTGAATCGACAAGGGCTCAAAGACACCAGTTTGCATTTTTACAAATGTAAAGTGTGTATTCTCCATGCCTTGATCGTTTTGCCCAGGACATGCGACAGGATACTGAAGCACTGGCTGCCTTGATAAATGCTATGGCAACAGTGAGGCGAGAGATGTCTCAGCGAAAGAGCGGTCAGCCGGTCAGCAGTCATTCATGTTTTGGCAAATGTCGCGAGGCTTGCTTATGAACCTGCTTGGCAGCTACTGGCAGACGTTGTTGTTGAGGAGATTTGCCCTTTGCTGTCCAAATATACAAAGCTGGTACGTATTGTTGGTTGGCGTGTGAGAATGAGGGACGGGCGTCGTTGAATTTGCACCTCCTGCGGAGCCTTGCCATCTCATTCCAGCAAGATCATCCTCGTACTCTGCATCTCTCTGTACTTCTTGTAGGTATACGGCACGGATTCTTCTGACCTTTGCGCAATGCGGGCCTCAAATTGCTCTAGGAGTGCAGCTCAGCATCAGGCAGACAGCTGGTGGCCTTTGCTTGGGCCTTTGCCACAGCTGGGGAACCACGGCATCTTGACAATCGGGTCCGGAATGAGAATTTGAGGTGCAACAAGAGACAATCTACATTCAAGCTTCTGATTGAGCTGCATTCTTTCTTATCATTTTGGGAGGGCTCCATTCTTGCCGCTGCCAAAGGCCTCCAATTAGAAGACTGTTAAGGTTCAGAATGGATGTATGAACTGAGGCAAGATCTTTGGACAGCTTTGAAGTCCATGATGGCCGGTGCTCAAGCTGAACTTCGATTAGCTGCTAGAGTGAGCTTTCAGGAATCCGGCGTTTTTCACCTGAACCGATGGTTGGGGAAGCCTTCGTAGCCTTTGAACAGCCGCGGATGCTTCCTTTGTGTTTGAGGAAAGCGGAAGGAGCTCTCTGCTGAAGAGCGCGTGACCTTCGCATGGCTCTTCGGCTTAAACGCATAGCCGGTCATAGCCGCATAGTGGCACACTGGCAAATCTGTGTGGTAGCAGGGGTACAGCCACAGGTAGGTAAGGGAAAATAGCATTCTCAAGTCCAAAGCTTTTATATAAGGTGTTCTTGTTGCAAGGGAACACTTCCAGTAGATCTATTGTTAGTTACTGCAAGTCAAAGTTTCTTCTTGACAAGGTCGTGCGCAGAGGTTGGTCAGCACGCGTTCCTTGGCATGCTACAGTTCGCAAAAACGATTGCCAGCAGCAAAGAATTAACACAGTACATGTGTATATATATATATATTATATAGATTATATATATATAGTTATATATATATAATATAGTCAACAGTTATTCATTTTCTTATTTTTTGTTTGTTTGTTTGGGGTCAGTGTGTTGTGCTTCTACTTCCTTAACTTTTATTCACTTGCATAGCCGTATTCAGCCGATAGGCTAGGCTTGAGCTTTTAGAGCGAACAAAGTGAGTTAAGGGGGTGTGTGGGGGGGAGGGTGCTGATAGGGACATTTTGAGAGGGTGAACCCGGAGCTTGGTGGGGGAGAGCGCTCCAAAGCGAGGGTCAGAAAAGCAGTGAAAATGGGGTTTGGTGATGCGAGTGATGCAATGGACGCCGGGTAGTGCATCATTAGCATCATGAAGTGCTTTGGAGGCTATTTGGACAATGGGCACTGAGCACTCGAGTGGAGGCACCCATGTACAGAGCGGACCG